TCTAACTCTCTCTCTCTCTCTCTCTCTCTCTCTCTCTCTCTCTCTCTCGCTTCCTCTATCTATCTCTATTATATATCTATATATCTCTCTCTTTCTATCTCTATATACGTCTCTCTCTTTCCTGCTCTCTCACTCTCTTTCTCTCTCCCCCTCCCCCTATCTATCTATATATATTTCTTTCTATCTAGTATCTATCTCTCTCTCTCTCTTGCTTCCTCTATCTATCTCTATTATATATCTATATATCTATCTTTTTCTATCTCTATATACGTCTCTCTCTTTCCTGCTCTCTCACTCTCTTTCTCTCTCCCCCTCCCCCTATCTATCTATATATATTTCTTTATATCTCTACCCTCCCCCCCCTCCTGTAGGACATCCTGGAGCACGCAGCATCCCGCTCACCTTAAGGATGTTGAAGTAGTCGTCGTCGCTAAGCGTTGCTAGGATGGACTCGACCGTCTGCTTCGCTATCTCCATGCGCTGTCCCGTCATGCTGCCGCTCGCGTCTACCAGGATGACGAGGTCCTTGGGAGAAGTCGCTCCCTGAATGTACCTGCAGCCGTGAGTATAGAGAGGTTAGCTGGCAGCATGGAGAGATGGGGGCGAGCTGGCAGTATAGAGGTTAGCTGGCAGTATAGAGAGATGGGGGCGAGCTGGCAGCATGGAGAGATGGGGTGAGCTGGCAGTAACTATAAAGATGGCAACAAACCAACATGGCGGTCGTCGCTGTAAAAGCTTTTCTTAAGCCGGGCTTAAGTCAGCCTTGCAACGTGACGCGATTGCCTTGCGACTGATTTTCTGCAACTTTCTGCAACTGGTTGCAAGTCGCAGCGACAATCGCGTCGCAGAGAAAGTTCGACCTAAGCACCCCGGCGACGGGTCTGCGACTGCTTGCGACTGGAAAATTGCCAGTCGCAACACGATTGCAGAGAGTCGCACATGTTCTACTCTGCGAGGACGCATGTCGAACAATTAAATGTCGCACACCGGACCCGGTTTTTTTTCCTTCGTAAACGTCGCCGCACGCGCGCTCTCGTCTGTCAGCGGCAGCGCCGCCGCCTGCGGCAGACTAATGAAGCCGCTTATACGAAACCGATGCGATTTAGAAAAAAAACCTTGCGCAGAGCCAATTAGGCTTCTACAAAGCTGCCGACAATTCACAGGTATAATTATAGATTCCGATATTACGTGACAATAAGGCTTGCACTTTTGCGAGTAGTACCCGATTCCCAGTGAAATCGAACGTATAGGTATAGGTATACGTAGGTAGGTAGGTAGGGCAGACGCCAGATGTTATGTGAAATTGAGAAACATATTTATTAGCAAGAGCACACAAGTGCGCACTTAATATTCGCTTAGTACACGTGAGATTTTGTCCTTATTTTTGCCTTGATGTTATATTGGCTTTAGTTTATGTGTTAATATGATCAGGAGTAAGATAATATATTATCTATATTATCTTACTCCTGATATGATAACAGCAATCACAGCTAGGTGAGTACACATGGAGTGGGGTGGG